TCGTCTTTGGTGTATGTTCTGTTAAATTGTTTCCATCTCTTCAGAGTAGCATAGCACAGCACTCTGCATAGCAGTACCAAGCGAGATCTTCAGATCCTGAGGTATAGTTAGAGATTTCTGTAGCAAGTGCCCTTTGATGGGGAGGATGTCAAATTGCGTCACTTAAGGCAGCTTGCTGTGAGACCTCTTCCAAAGGCACTGGTGAGTCAGAATATCTGCTAATGCTTTCCCTCACAATTTTTTTTTCCATAAATTTTGGGGAATTGTGGAGCTCTCCTGAGCATCTAGTCCACCTGCAAGAAGGTTTCAGTACTTTGAATGACCACAGATGCTTGTCTCAAGAAAGACCTTAGAATATGGTCACCAAGACATCCCCTAGTCATTATACTATATGTATTGCACAAGTCCTGTAATAGTTGTCCCTGGCTGCACAGTATATCTTTGCTTTGTTTGCTTTCCCAAGTGAAAAAAAAAATCCTCCTTTCAGAATATCAAGAAATCTCTTGTTTTGATGAGATCCAGCTGGCTTTTTTTCATGAAATTATGTACATGCCCTGATCCTGATATATTAATGTAATGCCTTGTGCTACTTTTGGTATTTTGGTAATTAAGGAATATCTGTGCGCAGCTAGTGAGAAATGACTGTGTGTTGATAAATCAGAAGGATAGAATTCATTTTCACCTTCTGCAGCATGCATAGCCCTCACGTGTAACTCTTTCTTGCATCAGTCTTCATGGACAGCAATGAGGTATCATCCTGCCTGGACAGCTAAGTAGAATGAGAGATGAAGAGTATTGCCCTGCATAAAGACCCTTGAAAGGAGAAGTTGATCTCTGTCTTCAGAAGGTACTGCTTGAAGTACTGGTATTCCTCAATGTAACTCGACAGTGCCAGCATGTACCGCAGGGGACAGAGCCTCTGCCTGAAAGCTGTTTAAAAAGCCTGCAGGATGTGGGAAAACAAGAATACTTTTTTTCCTTTTTTCTTTTTCTTTTTTTTTTTTTTTGCCACAAACCACAGCTGTAAAGAGCCTCTCTTTTCTACAGGATATAAAGGTCTGTATTCCTAAGGGTATTTTCCATTTTTTCCATGAAATCCTAGCCCAGTACCAGCAAAGGCCCAGTTGCTTGATTGAATGCTTTCAGACTGTCTATGCCATCTTCCCTATGCAACTTAGCCCTAGGTAAGAATTGTCTAAAAGCAGAAAAGTAACTGAGGTCTGTAATATTTGAAATTGGTCTTTCCTGAAAACACACAGTGACATCCACAATACTGGGTTTTTGTTTGTTTGTTTGTTTTTACTGAAAATAGGGGCATAAGTGGCATTCCAAAAGTAATACTGTCATTTTGACAAGTAAGAGAATGACAACCATTACATGACAATTTTAATTTATCATCTCTCTCCTTGATGCTGTATCTAAGGTCATTTCTAAGGCAATTTCAGTCTCCCACTGAGCAAAAACTGTCTCATCTCTTCTGTGTCAACTTGTTGCATGATAAAAGATCTTGCATTTGTACAGGGCACCTGGAGCCTTTCATCAAGAGAGAACGAAGAACTCTAAGCTTAGTTTCTTCCAGTCTCATATCAAAGAATGAACCAAGGCTTAAAGTCATTTGCCTTCCCTGGGAAAACAGGGTGGATATGAAAGAAAATATTTGTAAAGCAGGAGCCTAAAAGCCCAGGTGTTCTATTATTAACATTATAGTGTGTGTGTTAGCAATTAATTTCATGCAGCTTTTGACCAATCGAGTCCAGTGATTTTGAATGTAAGAAAAAAAGAATAGATGTTATTTTAAAAGAATTAGAAGGCATGTTTTTCTTTGCAGTCTATCCAAATTGCTGCTGTCATTCTAAACCACAATTAATGTAGGTTATGGGTAGTCCATACAAGCAGCTATTATTCTGCACAGCTGCAGATCACTGTTGTTCTGCAAGGGTGTGGATATCTCACTGTTGGCTCCACATTCTTTGATAACTGCATTTTCTTGATTGATCTTGTTGCCTTCCAATTATATGTTAAGGGAAGCCAGACTATTGTTATGGATTTGATGTTTGACTTGCCAAGGAAAGAGCTTTAGTGGGAAAGGAGCCCACTAAAGTGACTCCAGAAGTGCTTTAGGGAGTAAGGACCTTTTATGTGTAATGGAGCTGGTCTTAAAGCTGCATGCTGCTCACCTCGTGACACTGAAACTTCCATTCATTGGACTCTGGACCATCTTGAAGACATCTACTTTATAAGATATTTTTGACACTGGATCCTCTCTACTATAGGATGGCCTTCATGCTTTTGTTTACAAAGTGAGCTGAACCTGGGCGCCTCTGTATTTCTGCCCAGAACCTGCCCTTTGACACCTTTAGAAAACCTTCATAGTAGAAAAGGGTTTGTGAACTGAGAGAATGGAAATTTGGTAACTGAGAGAAATTTGGTAACTGAGAGAAACATGAGACATTATAAAGCAGAGCAGAAGAGGGTATGATGTAGCTGGAGGGCTAGAGAGGTGTGTTTGACTTTTGTATTTTTTATTACTATTGGATGTGGTTTGGCTTGTTATTGTATGTCTGTAGATTATGGAGAGGTGAAGCACAAAGCAGCATATCTTAATTCATACACCAGTAATGGGGATGTGCTGCTGTTTTTTTGCTGAAGTATCAGCGTACATTCCTGCAGTTACTGAAGCAACGTTCTCTGCGGAGCGGTGCAGTGCAGTAACAGCCTGAAAAACCAGGTGCTCAAGTTCAGATCTAGGCCTCTCGCATGCACTAGTCGAGCATGCTGGAGAGAAAGAGAGACAATACAGGTAGTCAAGCTTGGGATCTTCACTAGGGAAGGGC